AGCCATTAAATTAAAAGACACTTGCTCCTTGGAAGAAAAGCTATGACAAACCTAGACAGTGTATTAAAAAGCAGAGACATCCCTTTGCTGACAAAGGTTCATCTAGTCAAAGCTATGATTTTTCCAGTAGTCATGTATGGATGTGAGAGTTGGACCATGAAGAAGGCTGAGTGCCAAAGAATTGATGCTTTCGAATTGTGGCATTGGAGAATACTCTTGAGAGTCCCTTGGTCAGCAAGGAGATCAAGCCAGTCAATCCTAAAGGAAATCAGTCCTGAATATTCATTAGAAGGACTGATGCTGAAGCTGAAGCTCCAGTACTTTGGCCACATGATATGAAGAGCCAACTCAGTGGAAAAGACCTTGATGCTGGGAAAGATCGAAAGCAAAAGGAGAAGAAGGAAGCAGAGGATGAGATGGTTAGACAGCATCACCAACTCAATAGACATGAACTTAGGCAAGCTCCAGGAGATAGTCAGGTCAGGGAGGGCTGACATGCTGTAGTCCACAGGATCACAGAGTCAGAAACAACTTAGCAACTCAACAACAACAAAACTTTCCTGGTCCACACACATCTAACACGGGACATTTCTCTAGCCAAGAGGAATTATTCCATGACTTCAGCTACTGACAGCTATTATATGAGGTATTTCGGAGAAACTTGTCACATCCCACAAATATCCCTTGTAGGTAGTCTGGGTGGCTCCCTACCCATCAGGCCAACCCTGCCCATAAGCATAAGCTTAGCCACAAAGTCCTGGATAGAAGAATCTTCTGGCAGCTCTCTGAAGTTCTGGTCAGACACCCTGAGATCTAGGCCCATTCATCACATACTTTAAGCAGATACCAAAGGGAAGAGGTTACAGGGGACTGCTCACCAACTGAAAATTCTCACAGCATCCCCAGCTAGACAGGAAAGCTCCAGTGTCTGGTCCCTGGTAACCAGTCTGATTTGTATGACAGCAAGAGGGAGGCCTTCTAGGAAAATGCAAAGTTTAGAGGCTGTGGAAGTCATCTAGCCCTTGAAACCAGACACCTCCCAGCTAACCCTCTCTGGATTACTGTAAACTCACTTAGGATATAGGTTACTTGCCCTGGAATGATCTTCCAACTTTCCCCAAGGCATGCAGCTTATCTTCTAGGGTTATAAGGGCTTGAGAGCAAGCATCACGTTTACTTACCCCAGTGGTGTCCCAGACTGTGATGTGTGCACAGCAGACCCCCAACAAATAAACATCCAGAATAGAGATAGGTGCTAAGCTTTCCTATCATGGACTCTCAGCCCTTCCACAATAAGAAAGTTCTCTCTAATAAATTTTCCCCCCGGTCATTTCTCTGCCTTTTCCAGGCAACGAAGGTTTTAATTTCTCTGTGACCTATCTTATTTCCCCTTTATTAAAAAATTATTTATTTATTTATTTATTTGGCTGAGTCTATCTTTGATCTTCGTTGCACCATGCAGGATCCTTAGTTGTGGCATGTGAACTCTTAGTTGTGGCATATGGGATGTAGTTCCCTGACCAAGGGTTGAACCCAGGCCTTCTGCACTGGGAGCATGGAGTCTTAGCCACTGCACCACCAGAGAAATCCCTTATTTCCCCTTTAAATGCTAAGCATTAGAATTGGACCCTAGAGGTAATTTCATAAACACTTCTCTGTTGAAGCGCCCTTCACAGAGTTCTTCTTCAGAACTTCTTTTTTTTCCCCTAGTGGCAGATGGGTTTTCTGATTTTTCCAGTCCAAAACCCACTGGCATTTTGGTCTATCCACTTTTGATTCATGCTAGCAGTGACTTTCTCATGCCTGGAAGCCTAGATCTTCGCTTGACAGTCCAAGTAGATTATCCCAAGGTTGTAGGACGAACAAAAGCCCATGAAAGATGTCACACATTTGACCTTGAATCAAGGCCAGCAGTTTGCTGAAGTGATTGTTTCAGGCAGAAGGCTGAAGAAGTCTCTATCTATGATCTGTTGGCCACTTCAGAACTTTCATAATGGAATGATCAACTCATTAGAAAGAAACATTTCAGTCATTGATGATAGATATGGGCTAATACTTATTTGTAGTTGATTAATATTGGGATTCCAAGATTCAGAGATCCCTGATTTAACTTGCTCATTAGAATTATAACACTGCTAAATCCAATTACTATCAAAAAAAAATGCTGTGGATCCAAAAAAAAAAAGTCACACATAAATTCATAGTCCTATTAGGCAAGGTAATACTATGAAGGAATGATGTGCTTCTGTGCATTTCTGATTGCTATTTAGTTTGATATTTTATCATAGGATCTTCTTCACCTGCCTTCCCAGGTGGCTCAGTGGTGAAGAATCTGCCTGCCAAGTAGGAGACAGTTTCAATCCCCCGGAGAAGGAAACGGCAGCTCACTCCAGTATCCATGCCTGGGAAATTCCATGGACAGAGGAGCCTGGTGGTCCATGGGGTTGCAAAAGAGTCAGACACAACTCAGTGACTAAACAACAATGACGAATTCTTCACTTAAGTGGGTAATGTTGGTTTTCATTCCTGAGAAGAAAATTCTAGGTACCTAGCATTACTTTTATTGGATACAATGGTAAACTAGATGGAACCCCTGCCTTTGGGAGCTTCCAATCTCATTGGAAAGATGAGATGCATCATATGAGGGGGTGGCTAATTACGTCATATGAAGTTATATAAAGAGCGGCGACGAAAAGTATGAAACTGGATTGGATAAGCCCACCTTCCAAATTACAGCCTTCATGATAAAGCAAGATTATCATCAGGAACCAAAACACTAGATACACAACATCAACTCTGTAACCATCTCTCCTGGTTATCCCAAATAAAACAGCAGCATTTGAAGACTGTCAGCCAGAAGTGGTCTCAGTGCTGCTGGCTGAGAGAGGTGGAGACCCTTTTCCGCACCATCAGCAGGTCTGGACCAGCTCCCAGCCTCTCAGTGCGTTCTCAGAGCATATGAGAAAGAGCGGGGCAGAGTGAGTCATGGGAGGAAAATGTAAGGACCACAGTCTGGGGAGAGCTTCCTCTGAAGCCCAAATAGGGCAATTTCAAGAATCAACTCTCTTCTGCATTAGTCTGAGGCCAGCTGGAAACTACAGCACAGAAAAGGCTCCTATTCCTGGATTCATGGAAGATCCCGTAGTGCCTTGGGGGTGACATCCAGCACATTCCTTGAGGAAGGAGTCCTGGCTGCCTCCTCCGCCTGCCCTAAGCCCCACATAGAGGATAGCATTAAATGTTTGTTCATTCTATTCTTTGACTGGAGCACTTGTTAAAAAGATAAATCTCAAATTTAGCCATAAATATAGAAGAAGGGTCACAAGCCCTTTTGCCATTCCCAAATGTTGACTTGGGCTGGCAGCATCAGAATCATCTGAGACAGTTAAAAAAATAAGCTGTTCTCATAGTAGGAGACCCTCACTCAGGAGGTTTGAAGTGAGGTTCCAGTGCATTTTAAAAGGGATTCTGATCCCCCACTAGTTAGGGGACAACTTTCCTATGACAGCCAGCCTCCAATATGACCCCCAATACCACTACTTTCTGGAGTCATATCTTTGGGTAATATCTACCCACAAGGCATACTGTTGGTATGAATGACCAATAAAATACAGAAGAAATGATGGACCATCACTTCTGAGATGAGATTATGAAAGACATGGCTTCCATGTTTCATTCCCTCTCTCTCTTTTTCTTTTGAGTCATTCACTCTAAAGAAAGACAACCACCATATCTTAAGGATGTTCTAGCAGCCTATAGGGCGATTGTATGGAGAAGACCAGAGGGCTCCAGCTGATGGCCAGAAGGGAGCTAAGGCCCGCCAGCAACCACGGGAGTCGACTTGGGAGAGGAGTCCCCAGCCCTAGTTGACAACATGACTGCAAACTCATGAGATGTTCTGAGAAAAATCAACTGGCTGACCATGCCTGGATTCCCAACCCTTAGAAACTATTCGAGATAATCCATGTTTGTTGTCTGAAGCTGCAAAATGTAAGGAGCAGGGAGGTAATTTGTTACACTGCAGTTGCTAGCTGATACATTTTCCTAGCCCAAAGGGCAAGCTCCGGAACATAGCAGTCTTCTCATGGCCACCTTTCTACCTTCATTTCACACTATTTCCAGATTCAGGATCTACACTCTTGAGTGGTATTGACCTGCTTATGCCCAGTTCACAGAGAGCTCTATGCCTCTCTGTCTTTGTCTAAGCTGTTCTCTGCTTCTGATGGTATCCCCATCTTCAGAAATGCTTCCTCAACTGCCCTGGCACCAAATGATGAGTTTAGGTCCCGCCCCTCCAAGTGATCACACACACTTCTTAGACTCATAGGTGAGAAGTGCGTTAAATGGAAGAAGGGAAACACTCACATGAAAGAGTTGTCAAGAGCACATGGACTTATCAGAAAGAGAAACACCATACGATATCACCTTAAATGTGAAATGTAAAATATGACACAAAAACCAATCTATGCCCAAAACAGAAACAGACTCAAGATTTGTGGCTGCCAAGGTCGGGGGAGGGTGGGGAAGGGATGGAATGGGAGGCTGGGATTAGCAAATGCAAACTATTACACTAGGGATGGATAAACAAGGCCACACTGTGTAACATGGAGCCCAGCTTGGTGCTCTGTGATGGCCTAGAGGGGTGGGGTGGGGGAAGGGGAGGGAGGCTCAGAGGGAAGGAATATATATACTTAATTGTAACTGATTCACATTGTTGTGCGGCAGAAGTCAACATAAAATTGTGAAGCAATTTAAATTAAATTGCTTTTAATTTAATTAAAAAATAAATAAAAATTTTAAAAAGATTCTATTCCATAGACAGGGAATTACAGTCAACATCCTGTGACAAACTATAATGGAAAAAAGTATGAAAAAGAATATATATCTGTGTGTGTGTGTTTTATATATGTATATAAAACACTTCGCCATACAGCAGAAACTAACACAACACAGTAAGTCAACTATGCTTCAACTGAAAAAAAAACAAGCACATGACTTGCCTCTATGTTGTTGACCAGTGAATTGTCAAACTTGAACCCAGGAATCCTCTTCTCGCTGCACACCACGCCCACATCTTCCGAGTGTTTGCAGTCGGTGACCCCCCAGCCGTTGGAGGAGCAGGCTGCAAGGGTGGCCTCCCCGCCGGTGCAGTAGACATTGTCCAACCAGATGGGCCCTGAAGGAAGCGGAGAAGACAGAAGCAAAGATCCACGTCAGAGTAGCTCTGAGTCTTTGGGCTCAGTCTTTGGCTCATTTGAGCACCAATGATGTACACAAAAACAGGAATTTTCCCTAATTTTGGCAGCTGTGTGGGGTCATCAATTGGTTTTCGGTGTGTTGAAATATTTCATACAGTTCAAGACCCTCCTGGATTCCCCTGGCAGAGGGATGTGATATAGGGATGTGGCAGATTGAAAGTGATCGGAGTAGAAATCAGATTTAAACCCGAAGTAACGTGGCATAATGCAAAAAACAGGGACTTTGGACCCTAAGCTGTTTGATACTAATTCTGGCTCAGCCACTTAGCTCCATAACCCTGGTCAAAGCTTCCTTTTGTCATTGGTAAAGTGGGGATAATAATGACATTTCAATGGCAGGGCCATGTGCAGATTAGAGATAATACATGACACATGCCTCGTTTATTGTTAGTCACAAATGCAAAACGCTAGAGGGTTAACCACAATGAGACACAAGCTCACACCCACTAGGATGGCTATTAACAAAGCAGAAACTAAAACAGAAAATAACAAGTGTTGGCAAGGATGTGGGGAAATCGGAACCCTTGTGAACTGTTGGCAGAAATGTAACACTGAGACAGAGGAGCTCAGGCTCTTCACATCCTGGTGCAGAAAGAATTCAGTGAGAGGCAAAGTGATAGGTAAGAGATGGATTTAATAATATAGGATGCTGGAACTTCTTCTTTGGTTAAGACTCCACCTCCCACTGCAGGGGGCACAGGTTTGATCCCTGGGTGGGGAACTAAGATCCAGCATGCTGGACTGTGTGCCTGCCCCCCTCAAAAAAATAAAAAACAATAAACTAATATCAGATGCTTGTGAGAGACACAAGCAGGCAGGCAAGGGAGCAATGCCCCAAGAGCTGGATAGGCTACATTCTTATAGTCAAAGGAAAAACAAGGAGGGGAGAAGACCACCTTCTTCCTCATTCTTGAGTAGATNAGGAGGGGAGAAGACCACCTTCTTCCTCATTCTTGAGTAGATGTCAGGCTTCTATCATCAGCTCCTCCTCCACAGCAGGTGGGGGAGATTTTTGTCTTTTGTGGCCCAACCAGCCCAACCTGTCACGGTACTATGTTAATTAGCAAAAAGATAGTAGCATAAGCTAAAAGATGGTAAGCCATGTCAGGTTTCAGTATAATGCGGGTCTTCTACTTCGGACTGTCTTCTTTCTCCTATATTTTTGTTCTAAGTGTGCACAGAGGCGCATGACCTAGGGATCATTAACTTACTGACCCCAATGGCAGGATGCAGGTGTCATTTTTCTGCCATTGTTTTATTGTCTTGAGGGCTGGCTCATGCTTCTAATGCACGGTTTTCTTGCTAAGTAAATCTGCTTTCTTGAGTGATCATTAACTTACAGGGGTCTTCCAAAGTTCCCTCTCTGTCTATGAGCTCTTAGTGGAATTTTTAAACTATTTGTTTATCTTACTTTATCCCTATCAGAATAATGCAGCACCTATAGGAACACAGGGTGGTTCCTCGAATTAAAAATAGAATTACCATATATCTAACAATTCCCACTTCTGGGAATATATATATTCAAAAGAATTGAAAGCAAGATGGCAAAGAGATATTTGCACACCCATGTGCATCACAGCATCTTTCACAGTAGCCCAAAGGTAGAAGCAACCTAAGTGTCCGCTGACAAACTGCAGTCTACACGTCCACTGGAATATTACTCGGCTTTAAAACGGAAAGACATTTTTGTCACTTGCAACAACATGGATGAACCTTGAATTCCTTATACTAGGTGAAATAAATCAGTCGGGAAAAGGCAAATACTGTATGATTCCATACACGTAAGATACTGAGAGAGGTCACAATCCCAGAGAGTAGAATGGTGTTTACCACGGGCTGGGTTAGGGGGGTTGAAGAGTGGTTATTTAATGGGTATAGAGTTTTAATTCTGCAAGATGAAAAGTGGGTTCATAACACTGTGAATGTACTTAACAGTACTGAACTGTATCCTGAAAAATCGTTAAGATGGCACATTTTATGTTATATGTATATTTTACTACCGTTAAAATTTAAAAAAAATTTTAAGTGCTAGAGTGGTTTCAAGTAGTGATTTTTATAAGCATCACTACACAATGAAAGAAAACAGTCAAAACTCTCCTTTTTCTCATGACTCTAGGAGGACTCTACAGTAGAGTGGAGTCAGAAAACCTAGGTTCAAATTCTCTCTGCATCAGGACTTCCCTGGTAGTCCAAAGGTTAAGACTCTGTACTTCGAGTGAGGAAGTGCACTTCCTGGTCAGGAAATAAACACCCTACATGCCATGTGGAACAGCCACAAAAACAAAACAAAACAACAAATTCTCTCTGCCTCTGGCATGGTCAGCATGTGACTAGGTCAACTACTTCACCAAGCCCACTCCTCAAGTGGAAACAATGATACTAACAAACAGGTCGCCATGGAGATTCAATTAGATTTTGAACGTGGCTATTATGTTCGTCCACCCTAAAGCAGATCAATCCTGGGTGTTCATTGGAAGGACTGATGCTGAAGCTGAAACTGCAATACTTGGGCCACCTCATGCGGAGAGTTGACTCATTGGAAAGACCCTGATGCTGGGAGGGATTGGGGGCAGGAGGAGAAGGGGACGACAGAGGATGAGATGGCTGGATGGCATTACCGACTCGATGGGCATGAATTTGAGTACACTCCGGGAGTTGGTGATGGACAGGGAGGCCTGGCGTGCTGCGATTCATGGGGTCGCAAAGAGTTGGACACGACTGAGCGACTGAACTGATTATGTGTTCACCTTCCCTTTCTCCTTCCTCCTCCCAGTAAGTCAGAAAAAAAGGATTTCTGCTGCTTTCATGCTGCAATAAAAAAGCAGATAAAAACACTCCCATTGTAAAGATGAGAAAACCAAGGAAAATCTGAGGTTCTTCAAGGTCAGAGGGAACCTCGGGTCAGCCTCTGGACTTCGAGGCCCCAGATGAAATGCATCTGCTATGACAGATGGCAGCTCAGGGCTCAAACGAGAGAACCTCAGATGCATTGAGGGGAAACAAAAGGCTTATTGAAAACATCTGGGCTGAGGTTTTCCAACTGGTTTCTCAATTTGGCTTCGTTTCCAAGCCATCAAGCTCCACTGAAACACATGCTCCCTAATCGATTGCTGTTTCAACAACAAACCAAAGTTTGTCTTGCTAAGTACTAGCAACAGAAAAGACCCTCCACGTTTGAAGCGGGGCCTCTTCTATGGAACAGTCTTCAGAAAAGTTGCTGAGTGGACAGAGATGGAGAAAAGAAACAGAGCCCTTATTCCATCTGCAGAGAGAGAAACCACCCTGGCTAAGGGGATGGGAAACAGGACAAGACTGAGCTAAAAGTACCAGCAGGAGCTGCAAAACAGATGCCCCAGGGCGTGTTTTATTTTTTGATAAGGAGCATTTGAAATTAGCACCCTGTTGGCTCAGAAGGTAAAGAATCCGCCTGCAATGCGGCGGATTGAACCAGGGTTCAATCCCTGGGTGCAGAAGATATCCTGGAGAAGGAAATGGCAACCCATTCCAGTATTCTCGCCTGGAGAATTCCATGGACAGAGGAGCCTGGCGGACTACAGTCCATGGGGTTGCAAAGAATCGGACGCAACTGAGTGACTTTCACTTTCATTTGAAATTAGCACCCCGGAGCACTAATGCTATTACCCCAAAGAGCTGCTTTCTTAAGAAGCTTCAACTCATTCCCAGTAAGTCTACCTTCTACACAATCCCACCAGTTACCTTCTTTGATAGTGGGAATGTTCATTTCTACTTGGCCCAAGATGACATCACCATGCCAGGTAAACTAATTTGGCCTAATTTCATGACATTTTTTTCCCCACTGTGTGCTTAATGCCTAACAACTAAATTGTTCTGATTCCAAAGCAACCAACTTCCAGGTCTGCTGCTGGAGTGCACGGTGGTTTGGGAACAGTTCAGTACATGCCGTCTGAGAGCTTCTAGGGAAGTGCCATAGGGACACAGATGGGGCTCAAACTTTGGACATAAAATGCCAGTCAGGGACTTCCCTGGTGCTCCAGGGGTTAGGAATCTGCCTTGCAATGCAGGGGATGTGGGTTCAATCCCTGGTAGGGGAACTAAGATCTCACACGCTACAGGGCAACGGAGCCCATGGGTCACAACTACTGAGCCCACATACCAAAACTAGAGAGTCTGTGTGTCGCGACAAAAGACCCCTCATGATGCAACGAAGATCCTGTGTGTTGCAACTAAGACCCAATGCAGTCTAATTCATTAATAATTAATTTTTTTAAATGCCAGATAATCAGAAACAAAACTTCATTTTACTCCTCCCACTCATTTACCCTAAGAAGATGCTTCTCCTGATGAAAGGTGAAGAGATGTACCAACAAGTTAACAGATCATTTGGAGAGAAAAGATCATAAATATAATTCTACTTGAAGTGCAGCATTCCCATGGCTGTCAAGGCAATGGAGACGCTTCAAGCTAGGAGCTTCGGAGCCCCACTGAGTCATCTGCTGGCTTCATCACTCTGATCTGAAGAATGACATGGTGAGGGGGGATTACATCAAACCTCAAATCTGAAGACACACAAAGGAGAGCAAACATCTGAGGTTCGGGAGGCTGTGATTCCATCCAGAGAGTGAGAAATGGGGCAGCTGTCCCCTCCAGAATTCTCTAAAGGCCCATGAGGTCTCTGAGCTCAGAGATGCTTTGGGAGAAAAGATCTACCGACAGGCCGGGCTGGAAACCTGGAATATCCCTGGTGCTCTCCCTGGTTTAATTACTACATTGCTAAACTTGAGAAGTTCACCTACAGTGTCTCTGATTCATCCAAAGAGCCGTCTAAATGCCATCAGAGCACATCCCAGGGCATGGGTCACTATGCCAAGTACTACTTGCCAACTATTTTCTGTTTTGGCCACATTGCACAGCATGTGGGATCTTAGTTCTCCAACTA